CTAATAACACCCTTGTATTATAACACCAATTGTAAATCAGCCTCCCCCACTTCTGTTAAGATTGGGTCTCATCTTAGGCTGTCCTTGAACTTGTTATATAGCTGAGGCTGGCCTTAAACTCCTAATCCTCCTGCCTATATCTCCCAAGTGTTGGGATTACAGGCATGCATAACAGTGTCCATTTTGTTTTCACATTTTGACTATTAGGAATATTGCTATTAGAAACATTCACATATACTTTTTTTTTTTTTTTTTTTTTTTGGTTTTTTCGAGACAGGGTTTCTCTGTGTAGCTTTGCGCCTTTCCTGGAACTCGCTTTGGAGACCAGGCTGGCCTCGAACTCACAGAGATCCGCCTGGCTCTGCCTCCCGAGTGCTGGGATTAAAGGCGTGCGCCACCACCGCCCGGCCACATATACTTTTTATGTGTTCTGTTGCATATTCCTGTACAATGTGTGTTCTATTAATAAACCATTGTAAGGCGTAGTACTGTGGTGGTATTGTGTTCCCCAAAATATTGTGCACCCTAATAAACTTATCTGGGGTCAGAGACAGAATAGCCACTAGATAGACATAGAGGCCAGAAAATGGTGGCACTCACACTTTTAATCCTAGCATTCCAGAGACAGAAATCCCTCTGGATCTCTGTGAGTTCAAGGCCACATTGGAAACGGCCAGGCATGATGACACACACCTTTAATCCCAAGAAGTGATGGCAGAAAGCAGAAAGATATATAAGGCGTGAAGACCAGGAACTAGCAGCATTTGGCTGGTTAAGCTTTTAGGTTTTGAGCAGCACAGTTCAGCTGAGATTCATTCTGGATGAGGACTCAGAGGCTTCCAGTCTGAGGAAACAGGACCAGTTGAGGAACTGGCGAGGGTGAGGTGGCTGTGGCTTGTTCTGCTTCTCTGACCTTCCAGCATTCACCCCAATACCTGCCTCAGGTTTGATTTTATTAATGAGCACTTTTAAGATTCCTGCTACATAGTACATAAACCACCATTATTTTCCGTTGTAAAGCATACTATTGTGGACTACACTGATGTTGGCTGAGTTCAAATCATGCATCTTTGACCAGTTGGTGGTTCTAGATAGCTAGCTATTCCAGAATAGCTTTAAATGGCACAACATAATGCTAGTAGGCTAGCTGAGGCATGCTCTTAGAGCTGAGCAGGTCAGAGGTGAAAGAGCAAGCAAAGTTCAGTTGTGCAAGATAGCAAGAAGTAGTTCATATTTGCATTTCAAACCTTTGCTTGGGTCATGTTTGCTAATACCATGTTGCAAGATATCACAAGAACAACCAAGTCACTTGAAGAAGCCTGGGGTCAGAGTAGAAAGAAGACTTGCAAAGTTAGACTAAAAGGTGTGCCTATTAGAAAGCCATTAATTGGGGGCATTAATGCAATCAGTCCTGTCACACACAAACCATTCTTTTCTCTATCCTAATGCTTTTGCATTTGTTCTTTCTCTGTTTTACTGGCTTTCTCTTTCATGTGTGCATTCTGAGATTGCTCCTCTTCCTTCAGATTAATAGCCACCCATCTGTGTCCTGGTCCCAGCTCATCTTTTGTTTTGTTTTTATTTGTTTTTTAATCACGGTCTGACTTTATGCTTGACTTTATGCAGCTAATTGTGTATTTCATGAGGTCAAGGACTAAAACCAAGACAATTATTGAATTGTTGGGAGGCATTGTTAGTAGTTGAATGAACTAATAGAGACAAGTATATAAACAGTGCCAGGTATAAGATAAGCTGTGTATAAAGTTAATATACTGTGTATGGTACAATATTCTTAGTACCTACTTGTTATTAGAGTGAGTATACAGAGCAAATTGAATGGATAACTGGAGAGATTTTTGTTGTTGTTTTTTTTTAAATTTTTTGAGACAGGGTTTCTCTGTGTAGCTTTGCTCCTTTCCTGGAACTCACTCTGTAGCCCAGGTTGGCCTCGAACTCACAGAGGTCCTCCTGCCTCTGCCTGCCAAGTGCTGGGATTAAGGGCATGCACCACCACTGCCCGGCGAGATTTTTAATATTAGAATTACAAAATCTAAAAACAAATTTTTGGAAGATGAAAAGCCATATATAGTAAATGAGCCAGATACTGCTTTCTTTAAATTTCATTTATTTTACGTATATGAGTAATTTGCCTGCATGTATGTATGTGCACTATATATGTGCCTGTGGATAGTTATGAACCACCATGTGGGTGCTGGGAAATGAACCTGGGACCTCTGCAAGAACAGCAAGTGCTCTTAATCACTGAGCCATCTTTCCAGCCCCAAGGTACTATTTTTCGGTTGAATATAATAACATCATATTTGTAAAATATTCACATACCATGAAATGATCCCTCTAAAATATTATTTCACAATTTATCAAAAATGCATTAAATCCCTAAGCATACATTTTTACTCTTCATCTCTTAAGCCTCTTCTTCTCATCCCCCATTTGTTGGAGATTGTTGAATCTTAAAAGTTACCATTCCTTGTTCTGTTATTTTGTTTGTTCGTTGTGAATTTTTTGATTTGTTGGGTTTTCAGTTTCTTTTGAGCATTGCTTTTAGAACTTGTGAGTAAAAGACTAAGTTGATTATAGTAGAACTCTTTGCAGTTCTGTAAATCTGGCCTCTTTTCTAAATGGGAGTCTTACTGTGGACTCTGCCAAGTGAGTGCTAAGTATTCATTGACTAGCATTCTTCTAGGGTGCAAGGATTATAGCAGTTATGATTAGAGTCACCCCAGTTACAAATGTAAGGATGTCCTTAGTATCTTTTTTAAACTTTACATTTATTTATTGTGTATGTGGTGATGTGGGGAGTGGCATAAGCCTGCTATGGTTAGTGTGTGGAGGTCAAAGGACCATTTGCAGGACTTAGTTCTCTCTTTCCACCGTAAGAGTACTGGGGATTGAATTCAGGCTTGGTAGAAAGTGCCCTCACCTGTTGTGCCATTTCACATGCTCTTTTTAAAAAACAATTTGTTTTATTATTTGTGTGTGTAAGTAATACATGTGTATAAGTACAGGTGCACATGTGCCATGGTGCTTGAGCGTTGAGGTCAGAGAACAGCTCTCAGAAGTGGTTTCTCTTCTTGCATTGTATGATCCAGAGATCGAGGGTTTGGAGGTCCTTGCAGAGTAATAGTTCAAGTGAGGCAAGAAGGAAATCCAGTTCAACACAACTTAGTTAGCCAGTGTTGGGTCAAACTCTTGGAGTCTGACTCCAAACAGTTTTGACATTTTTAAACATAGTACAGCATTGGGAAAAAATTTCTGGTGACAATTATCACAGTAAAGTTTAGGGCATGACTACATTGAAACTCTTTTACAAAGTACATGTCTTTTGCAAAGTACCTGCGACCTCTTTCATAAGAATGGGTTCTATTGACTGAGAAACAATGTTCAGGAGTCTGGGGAGAGTCTAGTCTGGGAGATTCGGGTGAGACCTGGCCCTATAAGAGCAAAGATCACCAGGTTATTAACTACATCCATTCCCAGCTTTCCAAGCAGAAACAGGTATAAATCCCTTCCGTTGAAGAGAAAAGCCTGTGTGTTTATTTAACATTCCTGCTTTCTCTCATGCTGTCTGTGAGCACATGTGATATTACTCACTGAGCTATATACCATTGGTCCTGCCTTGGTTTTTGAGACAAGGTCTCTCACTATGAGCTGGGGCTCTGCAATTATCCTGGGCTGATTGACCAGCAAGACTCAAGGATCTGCCTGTCTTAAAATTTCTTGGAACTGTCTATGTCCATCAAACCATTGAAATTTGTAGACTGTTGAAATTAGCAATGTTACAAAAAAATTATGAGTTGGTGGACAAATGAGATAGCTCAGTGGGTAAAGGCACCTGCCTTCAAGCCTGATGACCTGATTTTGACCCCCAAAACCTGCATGGTGGAAGGAGAGAATTGACTTCCCCAGTGTCCTATGTATGTGCATGTGTGCACACATAACCCACATGAATCAATGTAATTAAATATTTTTAAATCATGAATTGAATGTTTATATAACTATTAAGAGGAAATAAAAATACGTGTACTGAATACATGTACATCCTGTACCAAAATAACTTAAGGAAGGATGATTTTCTTTGGCTTATAGTTTTTAAAAGAAAATAGGCTCCATCTTTGGTGTGGTGAAGTGGCTACTGGAAGACAAGGCATCAGGAGCATGAGGTAGCCAGTCACATTGCATCTGTAGGAAGCAAAGAGAGAAATGAATGCTGGTGCTCAGTTTGCTTCCTCCTTTTTATTCAGTCCGGGACCTCAGTTCATGGAGTGACAAAGCCCATATTCAGAGTAGGTTTTTCTTTCTTCATTAAACTTCTTTGGAAATGTCCTCATAGACACTCCTAGAGGTGTGTCTCCTAGGTGATTCTGAAATCCCAATTTCAGTGAGCCCTTGTACTCTGACCTTTCATTTGTTCTCATCTTAGAACAATTCAACTTGCACATGGCTACCACTGTAAGGCAGCTGATTTCGGCTAAACTTTTCCAGGACTTATTTGATGGTGCACAATATATTCTTTCATTAAAAAAAAATAATAAAAATCAGTCAAGTTCACACTAAAGGTTAACCATCACACTAACAAACCCTAAAAAGCATTTTCTTTCAGGTGGACAGCCCCAAATTTGGGAGAAGATGAAAATAGATTTTCATGATTTATTCTGTGTATATATGTACATGTATATGTATAGAATTTTAAATGCAGGTTCCATAGTATAGAAAATGTGTTATTTGTATTTCTGGGTTTGCCTAATATAGTAATTGCCAGTTTTGACTGTTTATTCTGACTCTGAAAGTATTTGAATCTCTTATAGGTGGGGATTATTACTAGTATAGAAAAAAGTTAGTTATTAATAATCATAAAACTCTAAACTCTCTAAAACTTAGAATACTGATAGTTACTACATTCTGTTTTTCTACATTAAAATATTTCTAATTTGTGTGCTAAGTGATCTTTATTTAAATTCCTTTATTTATTTATTTTTTAGGTGTGGAATATCAAGCAAATGATTAAGTTGACACAAGAACATATAGAGGCCCTATTGGACAAATTTGGTGGGGAGCATAATCCACCATCAATATACTTGGAGGTAAGTTTTTTAGCATCTCTTTGTAATAATTTTGAGGGAAAATTTATAAAAATGTTTTATAGTAGTAGTTTGGTTATTTTAGAGAGTAGAATTAGAAACATATTGGAAGAATTAGCTTTGCCTGTTTTTGTTTGTTTCTTAGTCTTGTTTTTTTTTTCACTTGTTACAATCTACATGGGTTAGTTTTATTTGGGAAATGACAAAACTGAGAGGGATGTACCCTATAAACTTAAATATTGCCTGAATTTTAAAAAAAAGAGCTGGGCAGTGGTGGTGAACGTCTTTAATCCCAGCACTCGGGAGGCAGAGGCAGGCGGATCTCTGTGAGCTCGAAGCCAGCCTGGTCTACAGAGAGAGCTCCAGGAAAGGTGCAAAGCTACACAGAGAAACCATGTCTTGAAAAACCAAAAAGAAAAAAACCAAAAAAAAAAAAAAAAAGAAAGAAAGAAAAGAAAAAAGAATTGTTAAAAAGAGGAAGAGAAATCATAAGTCTATGATAATGATCACTGCCTTATTCTGCTGTTTTGTTATCCTGTTGTGTCTCTGCCCTTATTCCCTCACCGGGCAGCTCTTATTTAGGCTAACCATTTCTAATTTTCTTAACCATTCTTTGTGATATAATTGTTGACCTTTTATTAGATGTATTTGATTGGTTTCCTTTTAGAATTAGGCATACAAACTTGAATTGTATATTCAAGATATATGTAACATCAGAGTAAAATTTAATGGATTATTTTATTAGTATATGACAAGGAAGTAGATTCTTATGAACTAGTACTACACAATACAGCTACAATGAGTATTTGTGAAATATTTTAGGAAAAATGAGAATAGTATTACATGTAATAATTTAAAAATTGAGTTTATCATTACAAAATAGCATATTTCCTGACATAAATTAAGTGTTCTACAAATAGGGATATTCAGTAAATAACTGCTAATATTTGTACTGTTTGTGGTGATTAAAAAAAAAAAAAAGATGCGTAAGAGGCAAAAGTCTGTCTCTTAAATAGCTTGTGCTTCAGTGGGGGTGGGAAGTGTAGACAGTGACATACAAAGGCCTTAGAATATGCACGTATTACCACTTGCTACACCATGAAGAAGACTGACAGGAGATAACAGGATGCTTTGCTGTGGAAACCTGACACTCAGATACTGAAATTTGAAGGCCATAAGTCAAAAGCCAGTTCTCCTGATGACCCACTGAGGTTCTTCATGTTTTCAGTTTCACTCCCTAAGAGTCCTTATTGTTTTTTGGGTGTTTTGTTTTCTTTTGTTTAGAATAAAACATATATTGAATTTACCACTTTAAAAAATATTTTTTTCATGATGTTAGCAGATTCAGCACAGCCAGGACTGTTACACAGAGAAACTCCATCTCAAAACAAACAAACAAAACAAAACAAGTATCTTATTTTGTAACCATCACCACAATCCATCTCCAGCACCTTTCATCATCTATCTTTTTTATTTTACATATTAACTACCAGATCTGCATTTTCTTCTCCCCATAGTCTGTAGTAACAATGATTTTACTCCTGTGTCTGTGAATTTGACTGTTATAATGGAATCATACAGCATTTGTCCTTTTGTGACTGGCTTATTTTAGTTAGCATGTTTTCAAGGATTATACATGTTGCAACATGGATAGTACATGTGTAAAAATTTCCTTCCTTGCCAGGGGAAATACTTGTGGTAGAATGCTTGCCTGATTTCTGGATGATTGGATTACTTTCACCTTTACTCATTATGAAAAATGCTGAGATGAGCTTGGGGGAAAGATAATTGAGTTCTTGCTTTCAATTCTTAAAACAAATTTTAAGATTATATTTATTTATTTACTGAACACACACGCACATGCCAGTGCATGTCTGGAGGTCAGTAAGCAACTTGGGGGAGTTAATTTTCAGGTCATCAGGCTTCGTGGCTTTAAAATCTCTGTTATTTGAAGCTGATGGTAACCTGATCATTTGTACTTTATGTTTATTTTGTGTACAACTAACTAGTGATTAGAGCTGAGCCAGAATTTATAGAAAAGGGCAGAGAAGGTGTGGTGAGCAGTGTGGTCCTTAGGCTTGGCTGGCCCTCATGTCTTTGAGTTTATACCCAGAAGTAGAATTGCAGGATCATAGAGTGATTCTATTTAATTATTTAAAGGAACTCTCATACTTTTTTATTGGTTTGCTTGTTTGTTTTGAGATGGGGTTTCTCTGTCTTAACAGTCCAGGCTGTGCTGGAACTCACTTTATAAACCAGGCTGGTCTTGAACTCACAGAGATCCACCTACCTCTGCCTCCCAAGTACTGGAATTAAATGCATGAGCCACCACTCCCTGGCTCTCATACTATTTTATATTATGCCTATACCACTTTACTTTCTTATTATCAATAAATGCACAAGGATTGTACTTTCTCAACATCCTTACCAACACTGAATATTTTGTATTTTAGCCTTGATAATAACCATTGTAATGAATATAAAATGTTATTCTCTTGTGGCTTTGCTTTGCATTTCCCTAATGATTATGATGTTAAGATCTTTTTACAGTTTATTGGTTATGTGGACGTCTTTTTTGGAGAAATGTCTGTGTAAATCCATTGTCTAATTTATAATTGGATTGTTTGGGTTTTAGTTTCTGAGTTGCAGTTCTTTTTTAAAAATTAATTAATTTGCTTATTTATTCATTCATGTGTGTGGACCAGAAGACAATTTTCAAGAATTGTTCTCTCCTTCCAACCGTGTTGGTCCTAGGGATCAAACTTAGATTGTTAGGTTTGGTAGCAAGTATCTTTATTCACTGAACCATCTTGCCAGCCCCCTTTTTATATTCTTTTTTATGCCTAAGAGTATGGGAGACATTCTCATTCAAACTACTGCAAGTCAGTCCCTGGCCACATAGGCTTATGGCCATATCATAATGCAAAATTCATTTAACCCAACTTCAAGTCCAAAGTCTCTTCTGAGACTCTAGGTCATCTCTTAATTGTAACCCCTTATAAAATCAAAAAGCAAATGACATACTTCGAACATATAATGGTACAGAATTTATATTACCATTCCACAAGGGTAGAATGGAAGCATGGTGAAAAAATATAGGACCAAAGCAAAACCAAACCCCAAGAGTATAAAATTCTGTAGTTCCTATGTCTGGTGTCTGGGACTTGAGTTTCAAAGGATTTCAGTGGCTCAGCCCCACCGGATTTTTTGCCTGTAACATACATTTCTCTCTCTTGGGCTGATTCTACTCCCTGTACGCAACTCTTTTTGGCAGATATCTCACGTCTCTGATATCTCTGACATCTTGTGATCTCCGGTGCAACTCAGGTTTCACTTTCATAGCTTCACACAATTTGAAATTTATCTTGCTTGTTGATCTATGGTTTACCTGTCAACCACCATAATCCTAGAGAAAGAAAAAAAAAATGTGTTTGCCCTTGAAAAATTTTTTCCAGGATTTCTTCTACTTCTCTAATTTTCCTATATATTTTCAATTAATGAATTTGAATATCTTCTCTGTGGAAGAGATAGTGTTAAATGCTTTAAAAATTATTTACGATTCTTTGTTTTATGTGTGTGTATGTGTGCACACACAAATGTCTGTGCATGAATATGTGCCATGTTGTGTACATGGAGGTCAGAAGACAATTTTCAGGAGTTATTTCTCGCTTTCCATCATGTGGGTCCCAAGGATTGAATTCAGGCTTGGTGGCATGTGCCTTTAACTGCTGAGCCATCTAGCTCTAGCTCTAGCTAGCATCTAGCTAGCTCAACACGTTTTTCTACTTGTTTCTGTACCTGATATATGGAGTCCAGAGTTGACAAGATAACTGCTTCATGGCAGCTAGGAAGCGAAGAGAAAAACAAGAAGGAGCTAGAAATTTAGCATTCTCTTCAAAGGCAGACCTACTCTTAATACTCCCTAGACAGAGGCAAGCTGTGAGTTCCAGATCAGCCAATACTGCAGTACTACATATTGAAACCCTATCTTAAAAAAGAAATGTTCCTAATAGTCTTATTCCCTTATACTAGGTCTTGCCTCTTACAGGTTCTACCACTATAATAAAAAGGGCCCTGACTTTAACATGTGGCCTTTAGGGGGCATTTTAGATCCAAACCAAAACAGTCAATCAACATAGCTTTCTTAAAATGTGTGGCAATCTTTTTCATCTTGAGATGTCAAACTGGAAACACTGAAGACGCATTTCATCAATTTCTACAATGAAAAGAGTACCAGAATGTAGGTCAGTTCATTGTATATATCTGTGGACAGTTAGTAAGTTTTCATTAGATAATATGAGATTAAATTCAGTAAGAATAATTTTAATAATGGGCATGGTATTGCACACCTCTAATCCCAGGTACCTGGGTGGCTGAGGCAAGCAAATTCAAAGCTAGTCCAGGTAAGTTAGCAAATCTGTTTCTAAATCAGAAAATTAAGATCAAGGATTGAGAATAGTTAAGTAGTAGACTATTTGTCTAGAATACATGGCACCCTGGTTTCAATTATCAGTATAGAAAAGGGGGGAGGGGTAAACTTAATGACTTGGATGCAGTAGATCTCTGTAAAGTATTGAAGCCATAACCATAAGCTCTAAAACATTTCCATTATTTCTCAAAAGAAATTCTTTATCCATTAGCATCTGTTCCCTTCAGTCCTTGAAATGACTGATCTTTTTGTCTCTGTAGATTTGCCTATATTGTAGACATTTTGTAAGTGGCCTTTTGTGACTGGATGCGTTTGCTTAACATAATGTTTTCACAGTTTAACCTTGCTGTGGCATGGATTAGTACTTCGTTTCCTTTTTTGACCAAATAATTACCATGTGGACTTTTTTTAACCTGTCCAACAACTGATAAATATTCAGCTGTTCAACTTACTAGATATTAGTTATTCCACCATGGACATTCACACCGTAGATTTTCTGTGAGTTGTTTTGTTTTAATTCTCTTGGTTGTATGTCTAGGAATAGAATCACTAGGTCTTGTGATAATTCCTACAA